TATGATGTATATTCTAAATTATTTGGAAGAATTCTACTTAACTGGTAGTTCTTAAAGTATGGTCACGGGTCCAGCAGCATCAGGATGACTTGGAGACTTGTTAGAAATACTAATTCTTGGGTCCTACCTGAGATACTCTGGGGATGGGAACAGAAATCTTTTAGTTAAGCCCTCCAGGTGATTATAGTACATGCTAAAGTTTGAGAATCGTGGAACCGGATGATCACACCCATCATTTATTGAAATCTTTTAGACCTCAGGAAGGCAACTGTATTCTTTTTGCCTTCTACCCAGTATTTAGGTGGCACTGGCTATGTGCCAGTCACTGCCCAGGCACCAGGGAAACACTCCTTGACATGATAGACAAGATCCCTGCTCTCCAGCAGCTTACATTTAGAGAAAGGATACTGACTGTAAACCAAGATTGTGACAGGTATAATGCAGAGAATTAAACTTAGGTGATAGTGTGTTGGGAAAGGCCTTTCTGAGGAGGTGAAGTATAAGCTGAGTTTTCAGTGCTAACAAGGGCCACCTGTGTGAAGATCACTATAAAGTACTGTAAGATGGGACTTCTCTTTGGTGTGTTTGAGGAGCATAAAGAAGGTCATTGTGGCTGGAGTTGAGTGGGCAAGGGGAGAGAGGTATAAAATGAAGTTGGACAGGTAGGCAGAGGCCAGATCATGTAGGACCTTGTAGGTGTTGCTAAGCACTGCCACCCTCTTTTTTGTTGTTTGTTTGTTTAAATTGTGGTAAATTTCACATAAGACTTCCCATTTTAACCATGTTCAAGTGTACAGTTCAATGGTATTATGTATATTCATATTGTGGGACAATCATTATCAATGTCCAGCTTCAGGACTACAACTTTGACTTGACTTTGTGTGGTGTGGGGAGCTTTTAGGAGATTTGGGCAAAGAAGTGACATAACCTGAACCTCAGAATAAAAGAATTACTGTCTGTTAATGTTGAGATCTGACTCTAGAGGGGCGAGGAAGAAAGCAGGGAGACCCGTCAGGAGGGTGCTGCAGTAATCGAGGTGATATGATGGTGATCTCTCAAGGATGGTTGTATTTGGGGGTGCTAAGAAACTTTGAGATTCTGGATATATTTTGATGGTAGAATCAGTAGACTTTTCTGATTGGTTGACTGTGGCATATGAAACAGGGGAGTCAAGGATGACATTAAGTTTTGTTAGTCTCAACAACTAGTAGAGTTCAGGAGATGCAGGTTTGAGGGAGAAAAATATGATAAGTTAAATTAGAAATGCTTCTTAGATGCCCAGTTGGGATTTTTTTTTTTTTTTTTGGTTACAAGGTCTCTCTATGTTGCTTAGGCTGGCCTCAAACTCCTGGCCTCAAACAATCCTCCTGCCTTGGCCTCTCCAGTAACTGGGCATCAACCACCTATGCCTGGCCCAGTGGGGATGTTGAGCAGGTAGCTGGATAAGGGAGTCTGGAGTCAGGGAAGGAAGTAGTCAGGTTGGAGATGTGACTGAGGCTTGTATGCTTGGTAATGAAAGCCCAGAGACTGAATGAGATCATCTAAGCAATGAGTCTGGACAGGGACAGTAGGAGAGCTAACCTGAGAAGGGATTAGAAAGGAGTAGCCAGTGAAGTAGGAAGACGACCAATAGGGAGCAACATCCTGAAAGGCAAGGGAAGAAAGACATTCGAGGAGGAGGGCAAATGGATCAACTATCAAAAGCTATTGACAGGCCGAGTAAGATGAGCACTGAGAATTGAGCATTTAAATACATTTTAGCAATGCAGAGGTCTGTGGTTACCTTGACCAAGTTGTTTCAGTGGTGTGGTAGGTTCAGAAGCCTGGTTGGGGTGTGTTAGAGAAAGGAAGAAGCAGCAGAAACAATGAGTATATACATTAGGCCATTTTTCACTTAGATAGCAGGGCTGTACAAAACACCCTGTGGTACAGGATAATGTGTTGGTGTCCCTGTGTTTTAAAGTTTGGATACAACACCTTTGCATGCTCATTTTATTTCAATTTTTAAAATGCATAAAAATAAATTAAAAATGGAAACTTGAGTAAAAATGTGGGAAGCTCTTTTTTTTTTTTTTTTTTTTGAGACGGAGTCTCGCTGTGTCTCCCAGGCTGGAGTGCAGTGGTGTGATCTCGGCTCACTGCAAGCTCCACCTCCCGGGTTCACGCCATTCTCCCGCCTCAGCCTCCCAAGTAGCTGGGACTACAGGCGCCCACCACCGTGCCCGGCTAATTTTTTGTATTTTGAGTAGAGACGGGGTTTCACCATGTTAGCCAGGATAGTCTCGATCTTCTCACCTCGTGATCCACCCGCCTCGGCCTCCCAAAGTGCTGGGATTACAGGCTTGAGCCACCGTGCCCGGCCAAATGTGGGAAGCTCTAAAGAACCTCCATGAAGTCCTAGGATCCTGAAGAACACACTTTGAAGGCTGTTATATTAATAAAGAAGGAATGAAATTCTGAGATGAAATTCAGCCAGTTGCAATCTAGGCTTAAGAAAGACATTTTGAGGTTTCAGAGAGAATCTTCCTGATGCTCTTCAGATTATACTACCTATTACTCATGAAAGATGACCTTAGAACTTCCCTTTCTTTCATCAAATGTTCTACCTTAAGATCTTTTGAATGAAAGGGGTGTTTGCATATGGTATCTTCCACAAATATTGGGTCCCATATGCCAAAGATGCCAAGATCATTTTGTACCCTCTTGCAGGGAAAAAAGAGCACAACAGATTTTTAAGGTCCTCTTGAAACTTCAGTTTACTTAATTTTTTATAAGTAAGATACGGTGACTTAATAATGTCTGATTTAAAAAATAAGTCTGTTTGACAAGGTATATTTAAATACCTTGAATTTTAGAGCAGCCAACTCTTTGCTACAGACACTTGAAAGCAAAAGCCCATGTTTCTCTTTGGGGAAGAAATGACGATTTTACACCCCTGAAGTAAGTAGATTCCTGATTCACAAAACACACATTTTTCTTTTCCCTCCTAAGGACGTAGAGGGAGTATTACCATTTTTTACTGAGTGTAAAATGTCATTATTTATAACATGAGCCATAATTTAAGGTATTACTAAGAAAGAAAAAAATGCTGGCTCTTAGAATTGTAAAATGCTATCGGTTGTAAGAGATGTGAAAATGTGGGGGGAAACAGTTCATGCTAGAATCAAGTGAAATAGGATTTGAGGACCAGGAGGCGTGAGTTCTGGTCCTGGCCATGTTTCTAGACAAGTCACTTTAGACTCCCTTTGCCTGAGGTTGCTCATTTGTACGACTGGAGTAATGCCTGACACACCTATCTCGCAGGATTATGACAATGACGAAATGAGATAACTGAGATTGCTATTTTGAAAAGTAGATACCACTGGGCATATTAAAAGTATTTATTTGATGTAAATAAATCCTTAGACATGATTAGGCAACTCAGAAAGTTTCTTACCTCATCTTTGTTGTCAGATTTAAAATAGAATTAAGTTACAGATATTTGAAAGTACATTTTCTTCTGCTAAATGGTTTTTATTTCATCTGGAAACATCTTTTTATGGTAGTTTTGAAATTAAAGAGAAAATGTTAAAATGGTATAACCACAATGCTCTTATTATCTGCAATTAACCGTTAACATTCTGTTCTGTGATCTTTTAAAAATTTATGAACTATTGGCCGGGTGCAGTGGCTCCCAGCACTTTGGGAGGCCAAGGTGGGCGAATTACTTAAGGTCAGGAGTTCGAGTCCAGCTTGGCCAACATGGTGAAACCCCATCTCTACTAAAATACAAAGGATTAGCCAGGTGTGGTGGTGTGTGCCTGTAATCCAAGCTACTTGGGAGGCTGAGGCAGGAGAATCACTTGAACCCGAGAGGCAGAGGTTGCAGTGAGCTGAGATTGTGCCACTGAACTTCAGCCTGGGCAACAGAGTGAGACTCTGTCTCAAAATAAATAAAGAAATTTATGAACTATTATGAAATAAAAAAGTAAAAGAGTATAATAATGAAAATTCATATACTTACCATTGCCAATACAGGTGAAGGCCCATTAGAATCCTGAAGATCATGAACTATCATGAACTACATGGGAACAGTGTCTTACATTTAGATTGGCATCTTGTCTTCACAGTAATCTAGTGAGATACACTGTTCCTCTTGTTTAAGTCTTGAAAACCTGTAAATAAACAAGTTAATCTTGTCATATTTGTGCTTTATCCTGGAATATACTGAGGAGAGGGCTACTTTGTGCTGGTGTTGCCTTGGTCTGAGTTTCCTCAGATTTCTACCTCTGGGTTTGGTGATCTAGCTGTGGAAACTGGAAATATGACATCTGTAAAACCATAGTAATAGCTAGCCTATTATGTGCCAGACATCATGCCTAGACAATTTGTGTGTGTGTATGTGTATATATGTGTATATAATTTTATACATATATATGTATATAATTTAATATGTATATAATGTATATGTATATAATTTTATTATTCATTTTTGAGACAGTGTCTCACTCTGTTACCCAAGCTGGAGTGCAGTGGCATGATCTTAACTCACTGCAACCTCCACCTCCTGGGCTCAAGTGATCCTCCTACCTTAGCCTCCCAAGTAGCTTGCTTTATAGGTGTGAACTACCATGCCTGGCTGATTTTTGCATTTTTTTTGTAGAGACAGGGTTTTGCTATGTTGCCCAGGCTGGTCTTGAACTCCTGGCCTCAAGTGATCCCACCTTGGCCTCCCAAAGTGCTGGGATTATAGGCATGAACCACCACACCTGACCTGTATATATATATATATATATATATATATATATTTAATTTTACAACAATTCTTCTGGCTAGGTGTTTTCATTTTGTAGTTTAGGAAGGCATGGGCTCAGAAAAATAGAGTAGCTGGTCCGAAGTTCCATGGTCATTAAGTTGTGAGCTGATGATTTCCATGAAGGTCTGTTTAATACCACAGCCTACATGTTCTATACCAAGCTGCCTCAATCCTCATCAGTAATCATGATCTGTTTCTTTTGTAGGCAGAATCCAGAGACCACATTTGAAGTATATGTTGAAGTTGCCTATCCCAGGACAGGTGGCACTCTTTCAGGTACTTTGCATGTTTGATTATGATTTGGTATGTTACTTATTGTTTGAGATAGCCATGCACACGAGATAATATTTTAATATGAGTAAATGGTTATTTGTCTCTAAGTATGTTTAAGTGCCTTTTTCCTTTTATTCATGCCCACATTATCCTAGGAAGAATGGAGAACGAACACATAGTGAATAGTCTGAATTAAGAGTTCAAGCATAATAGGCTTGAAGTATGGCTTTATTCATTGTAATCATTGGGTCTTGGTTTGCATCTTTCACAGATGCCTGGAAGTCAACTATTTAGTGTGAAATATTGTCACCTTGCTAATGAGCAGGGCTTCACCTCTAGTCTAGCTTTCTAATGGTATAATTAGATTATAGGATACAAAATAATATAAAGGGAATTCTCTGCCACTAATCTAGAAGGAGATGCTTGGACTTAATTTAGTAAATTTTATGTCTGCTGGCAAAAGAAGGTTGAAAATTAGTTGAAGGAAACACCTCCTCTGGCTTTAGCTTTTGGGCTAATTTGGATATGTGTTCCTGGACAAGAGGGTCCTAGGAAAGACCAGGGTACCTTGTGCAGGCAGCGTGTATCACTTCTTGACCTAAAATCTTTCTTGGTTAATGAGAAAAATAACCATATGATCTAGTATTCTTTTTCCTGGTGCCTAAGAGAGTGATACATTTTGCCAAAGGTATGCTTAGGACTCTTGGTCCACCCACAAAAACACCTGCATATATTAATATTATTATTATTTTTTTGAGATGGAGTTTTGCTCTTGTTGCCCAGGCTGGAGTGCAATGGCGTGATCTCGGCTCACTGCAACCTCTGTCTCCTGGGTTCAAGCGATTCTCCTGCCTCAGCCTCTCAAGTAGCTGGGATTACAGGCATGTGCCACTACGCCCAGCTAATTTTGTATTTTTAATAGAGACAGGATTTCTCCATGTTGGCCAGGCTGATCTCGAACTCCTGACCTCAGGTGATCCCCCCGCCTCGGCCTCCCAAACTGCTGGGATTACAGGCATAAGCAACCGCACCCAGCCTATATTAATATTATTTGGGGTATAGAGATAGTGATCTACTTGGATTAGAAACTTGGAGTAATCAGGATTCCAATGGTAGTTAGGCTCTTAATTGGCTTTACAGCCTTGGGGATATGTTCTGTTATTTTAATTAGATTGTAATAATTGTAAACATTATTTGCTACCTTTCACTGAGTACCTGTTGTTATTCTATATGCTGGACATATATAGTGTCATTTGTTACAATGCATTTTTAAAGGTAGTTGGGCGGCATCCTCATTATACCTATGAGAAAATAGAATCCCAAGGAGGTGAAGTAACTTACGAAAATCATATAGCTACAGTGTGATAGCCAGGATTTTTGTCTAAGTCCTCTTTGCTCTGCTAAGTTGCCTTCTTGAGGCTAGTGACCATGCTGTACACATCTCTACATGTCACCTGCAGGGCTTTGCACCATGTCATCAATAGTTGTTGATGAAAATGAATGAGTTTTCCTTTATAGCAAATGTGCGAATAACTGTGCTGTACTTTTTGGATTATCTAATGAAGGCCATGAAACACATTACAAATTTATGCTTGTCCTGGAAGTAGAACGTGTGCATCTGTGTTAAGTTATGCCTCTTATTGTACATGGAAACCATTGGGTTTCAAAGGGAATTCTCTGTTCCCAGGTGTGTATATGCAGGAGCACTTCATAGGCTGACTTTACAGAGTTACCATTTGACAGTGGCTGTGATTTAACGATAAACTTAAGGACAAAACATTTTCTTATTTCTACAGTTGCTAATGTTTTTCCCTTTCAGTGCTCTAGGATTTTTTCCCCAAAGTTAAAATTAATTTTTTAATATGAACAAAATCTGAAAGGTACAGATGAAATGGAAGAATGAACAAAGTGAATAGCATTTATACTACTTCCTACTTCAGCCATCTCATTCCTCTCCCTATAGACAACACCTTTGTTTAACTCTACAGTTTAATTTTTAAACTCTTATTTTATGTATTTATTTTCATGAGATGGAGTTGCTCTCTTGTCACCCATGCTGGAGTGCAATGGCGTGATCTCAGTTCACTGCAGCTTCCGCCTCCTGGGTCAAGTAATTCTCTTGCTTCAGCCTCCCAAGTAGCTGGGATTATAGGCATCCGCCACCACTCCCAGCTAATATTTATATTTTTTAGTAGAGATGGGGTTTCACCATGTTGGCCAGGCTGGTCTTGAGCTCCTGACCTCAGGTGATCTACCCACCTTGGCCTCCCGAAGTGCTGGGATTACAGGTATGAGCAACCGTGCCTGGCCTATTTTTTTTTAACTTTTTGTTTTGCAAGTATCTTATTTTATTATTACTTTTGAGACGGAGTCTCGCAGTGTCGCCCAGGCTGGAGTACAATGGCGTGATCTCGGCTCACTGCAGCCTCCACCTCCCGGGTGCAAGCGATTCTCCTGCCTCAGCCTCCCAAGTAGCTGGGATTACAGGCGCCCACCACCATGCCCGGCTAATTTTTTGTATTTTTAGTAGAGACAGGGTTTCACTATGTTGGCTAGGCTGGTCTCGAACTCTTGACCTCTTGATCCACCCACCTTGGACTCCCAAAGTGTTGGGATTACAGACGTGAGCCACTGCACCTGGCTCTTATTTTTTAATTAGTATAAATTTAGGGGGTACAAGAGCAGTTTTGTTACGTGCACATATTGCATAGTGGTGAAGTCTGGGCTTTCAGTGTACCTGTCACCTGAATAGTGTACATTGTACCCATTAAGTAATTTCTCATCCCTCAGTCCCTCCCACTCTTTTGAGTCTCCAGTGTCTATTATTCCACACTCTATGACCATGTGTACACATCATTTAGTTCCCACTTACAGGTGAGAACATGCTGTATTTGACTTTCTATTTCACTTAAAAGAATGGCCCCCAGTTCCATCCATGTTGCTGCAAAAGACATTTTTTCAAATTTCTTTCTTTTTTTTTTTTTTTTTTTTTGAGACGGAGTTTCGCTCTGTCGCCCAGGCTGGAATGCAGTGGCCAGATCTCGGCTCACTGCAAGCTCCGCCTCCCGGGTTCACGCCATTCTCCTGCCTCAGCCTCCCGAGTAGCTGGGACTACAGGCGCCTGCCACCATGCCTGGCTAATTTTTTTGTATTTTTAGTAGAGACGGGGTTTCATCGTGTTAGCCAGGATGGTCTTGATCTCCTGACCTCATGATCTGCCTGCCTCGGCCTCCCAAAGTGCTGGGATTACAGGTGTGAGCCACCACGCCCGGCCCAAAAGACATTTTCTCATTCTTTTTTTATGGCTGAGTAGTATTCCACATTTTCTTTATCCAGTCCCCCATTGCTGGACACTTATATTGATTCTATATCTTTGCTATTGTAAATAGTGCTTCTCCAAACATATGAGTGCAGTTATCTTTTTAATGTGATTTATTTTCCTTTGGGTATATACTTGGTAATGGGATTGCTGGATCAAATGAATTGTTTTGAGACTATTTTAAGAGTTACAAGAACAGTCCAGTGCATATGCTCTTTCCTTAGATTTGCCAGTTGTTATTATTTTGCTGCATTTGCTTTATCACCCCCCCCAACGCATACACAGCACATACGTGTGCATGTGCATATACGCACACAGAATTTTTGCTGAATCATTTAAGAGTGAGTTGCAGACATTATGACCCTTCACCCCTGCATATCCAGGAGATATTCTGGATGTATCTCCTAAGAATAAAGACATATTCTTATATACCCCTAGTATAATGATTGAAATCAGAAAATTTAATGTTGATACAATGTCGGTTGCCCATATTTAAATTTAATCAATTGTTATATCATGTCCTTTATAGCATTTTCCCTATGATCCAGAATCCAATCCAGAATCATGCAGTCCATTTAGTTTTCATGTCAGTTTACTTCCTTTCAGCTCAGAATGATTTTTACAGCCTTTCTTTGTCTTTTTTGACATGTTTTTGAAGAATTTGGGTCTGTTGTTTTGTAGAAAGTTCCTGGATTTGTATCTGTGTGATTGGATCTTCATGGTTAGATGAAGGTTATGGGTTTTTGGTAGAAGTATCTCAAAAGTGATATGTGTCCTTCAGTGCATCCAGTAAGCAGGCACATGATGTCTGTCCTGTTATTTGTGAAAAAGTACATAAAACATATGTATAGTTTAACAAATAAGTATAAAGTGAGTAACCATGTTATTACGATCCAGGTTAAGAAATATAATGTTACCCAGTTCTTCAGAAATACTGGTCCTGGCAAGAGGGACCCCTGACTTGGCCTGCTGCTTTAGAGGGATCTGCTTTGTCCCTCCTCTACCAATGCCCTTTCCACAGGGCAAGGAGTCTCTGGAGCCTACGGAATATGCTCACTTGGAGCCTAGACCCTTCCATCCTAGACCATGCTTTGAGCACCCAGCATCTCAGACCTTCTTGCCCAAATGGCCCTGAGCTTTTTTTCTGGAGCCTGTGTGAGTCTTTCCCCTGGGGTCTGTCCTCCTGGGAGTGGACTATGCTGCTGGTGTATACATCCCTAGGTATAAGGGGCGGTCTAAGGATAGCTGTCAGTGGGGAGTAGAGTATGGGATAGAGCTTGTAGTGCAGGATGGAGAGGGGGCAGTGGGCAGTGAGCCAGTGGCCAATTTGCCCTGCACCACTGCTTTTCTCCATGGAATGCAAATACAAAACTCAATATGAACCTGGTCTTCTTGTTAGTTGTAAAGGTATATTTATTATGGCAGGAGGATAGAAAATATTTAATAGTTTGTATGCTTGTTTTATAACTTTTAAATATGTAAATATTCAGATGTATGGTCTGTAGGTCTCTATTTGAACCCTCGCCTAAGCCCTGTAAATGTTACAGGTGGGTTTGCCCAGCACCCCAGAGGCCCCTCCTCGCTCCCTCCCTCCCTCCCTTTAGAGGTAACTACTAGCCTGACTTTTATGATAATCATCTGTTTGTTTTTCTTCATAGTTTTGCTACATAAGTATACCTTCTTG